TGAATCAGTTTTCTATGTGCAAAATGCAAATATTTACTGAAATAACAATTTCGATTTTCAATTTTACATGAACATTTTTCACTTGGAGCAGTTATTCACACATAATCTCTCACACAATATTACCGTCCATCAACAACAGTGAAAAAAATATTTTGTTACGCAACAGCTGCTTTAACAGCTCTTTTTATGGAATCAAACAGAGCAATATAAAATTCTAAAGTGCACATCTAAGGTAAACTAGTCCTCAGTTTATAGTGGATTTAAGCCATGGTCGCATACTTTGTTTTTCTCAAGTTTGCTTTGAACACAGCAGTCAGGCTATGTTGATTCTGTTGGTCCTTCTTGCGCGGAAGTCTCTCTACGGTTTTGTGTAGACATCATTTCGGATGACTACACTTGGTTCGATGACAACACTGGAGACGTTTTATTTTCAGTGTGTTCGCTAGGTCGCTACCACTGCACCGCTGAACTCTCTACGTGCATCAGCTCACCGTCACTGGCAGACGAACACAGAGAAGCCCCACCCGCTTTATTTATTCAAATTATCCATAGCTGTCTGTCTGAGACGAGGGGGCGGAGTACTCACGTCAGCTGTGTGCTTGGCCATTCAGTGATATTTCAGACTCGACGTGCTATGGTGATAGCTCAGTTTACGACTGCAAAACATACAGGTAACTTTGGTCTTCTCAGTGGAACAATCTGGCAACTTTTTAAAAGTAAACTTTCCATTCATAAACTCTGTAAGTATCCGTTTTCAGTGTCTCGCGCCGCCGTGGCTGGCAAAACAAACGTGCGTGGACCTGTGCAGCACGCTTGTTGTTTTGTTTCTGGTTTATTTATAAATCAACGTAACATCCGCTGTGACGTGTGCCGCTTTGACCAAAAGTCCTAATTACACACGATATTTGCGTGAAAAGCACTTCAACAAAAGAAACCAAATACAGTGATCCCTCGCTACTTCACGGTTCGTTTATCGCGGGTTCAGTGCATCGGATTTTTTCAAACATATATAAAAATATATATATATTTTTTTTAAATCCTCGTCTCACCCCTTGGGTGGTGTCCGTACCTCATTCAGCTCGGTTCCTCTACCAGAGGCCAGGAAGCTTGAGGGTTCTGTGCAGTATCCTTGCTGTTCCCAGCACTGCACATTTCTGGACTGAGATGTCCGATGTTGGGTGTCTGGTTATTCAGCCTTGCTCACGACTCTTGTCTACAAGTGTCTGATTTTTCTGGACGTGCAAGATTTTTTGCGTCATAGATTCTCGCCACGTTTTTGTATTCGTATTTTTTCATGTAAGAAGTTCTTGTTGTGATTTCTCGGTTCGTATTCTCGTGTATTGAATTTTCTTTGAGCGACAAGCAATTAACATTTATCTTGATCCTTGCCTTTTGCAAGCGCCTTTTAGTTTTTTTTTCCCCCTATTTCCTGAGTATTTGTTACCAGCGTCTTTCATTGTTCTTTGTCGGGCCGGCATTTTGTAAATAAACATTTTCTTTTGTCAAACTCTTGTCTGTTTCTACGCTTGTGGATCCCAATTCTGTCCGGAGCTTCACGGATAGTTGACATATCCACGATTTTGTTATAAAATGAGCTGTAGTGAGCAAACCCATCTTTTACTAGAATACACAATTATTTTATAGAATTTTCAGTGGGGTACTGAAATAATGAAATTCGATAGCCTGTAGCCCAACATTCAACTGCCCAATTATATTGTCGTATATTTATTGCTTAATAAAATCCATGTTTCAAGTCCCTGGGCTTAATTGGGACAAAAAAAAAAATGCATCCATCCATTCATTTTCCAATCTGTTTATCTTAACGACAGTCGTGGGCCGGAGCCTATCCCAGCTGTCTTTTCCGCACTGTGAAACGGATGTGCTTACCAGTCAACCACTGCGCAGCCCGCTCTTCAAAGAAAAAAAGCTATTTCAAGGCTTGAAGAAAACTGAGTACTGATTCATGAGCTGGGGTCAAGAAAAGCAAGCACAGAGAGATCATCAGTCAGAGTCTGTGTGTGAAAGACTGAGGAATGACTCCACTGGATGCATCAAGTCTGTCTCGGGAGTGGCAGTCGCAATCCAGGTACATAGGTAGTTCGACAATAAGGGTGTTCCTTCAGCATGAGTACAGTTAATGACGAACCGTTCATGTGCTTACTTGGCAAAACTTGATGACGTATAATGGATACTTGTCGATAAAAACTACCCAGCTGAGCCTGAATAGAGCAGGTCTGCTATTCTGGGCCTCGGTATTGTATCTCTGCTTTTTTCAAATGCTGTTGTTCATTTGGCTACATCAAGTCACCATCTGCAACTCTCAGTCGAGCAGTTCGCAGCGTGTGAAGTGATTGGGATGAAAATCCATCCATCCAATCCATCCATTTTCTGATCCGCTTTATCCTCACAAGGGTCGCGGGGCATGCTGGAGCCTGTCCCAGCTGTCTTCGGGCAGTAGGCGGGGGACACCCTGAACCGGTTGCCAGCCAATCACAGACGAACAACCATCCATGCTCGCACTCACACCTAGGGACAATTTAGAGTGTTCCATTAACCTGCCACACATGTTTTTTTGGAATGTGGGAGGAAACCGGAGTACCCGGAGAAAACCCACTCAGGCATGGGTAGAACACACAAACTCCACATAGGAAGGCCGGAGCCGGAATCAAACCCTGCACCTCTGCACTGAGAGGTCGATGCGCTAACCACTGGCCCACCGGGCCGCCCGGGATGAAAATCAGCACCCTCAAGGCCATGGACCTTAGTTGGAAAAGAGCAGCGTGACCTTTCCAGGTTAGCGATCCTTCTCCAAGTGGAAGAAGTCAAGTATTTTGAGGTTTTATTCATGAGTGAGGGGAAGATGGAAGGAGAGATTGACGGGTGGATCGGTCTGTTGTGGTGCAGAAGGGGCAGAGCCAAAAGGCAAAGCACTGATTTTAATTAATTTAACTAATAAAGATCATTACAAAATAACTGTGGATTAGGACAAAAGGATTCAAAGCCGTGTTTTTTTTTTTTTTTTTTGTTTACAGGTAGTCACAGCATACTGTGCTTTACACTGTCAAGTTCATCTTCTTTTTTGTTGACTGAATTGGTTTCTTGCTATTATGAAGTCACACTATTTACAGTTTGAAAACAATGAAAGTTGACCAGAATTCACCAGTCCAAACAATGGGTGAAATAAAATAAACATAAAAAATGTACAGGATGGAGATCTACTTACCCCAAAACTGTCTTCTTGACGATGCTGTCTCCAATTGTGGCCCGTGTCGCTAAACATCAACAGGTAGGCTGTCAACCAGTCTGAGCTGCCATAACGTCCCTGAGTGGCAACAGTCGTGATTTGTGTCCTCCTCCCCAGGTCCACCTCCAGCCACTGGTTTCTGTCTGTGATGAGAGGAGACCAACCCCCAGCACCTACAATGAGGAAAATGTGAAGAGGTCATAAGAGATGGTAGGGAAACTTAATTACCGGTAGATTTAAACTTGTTGTCAGGCAGAGTTTATAAGGTTTATGTCTAACTTAAGCGTAGACCAATGGCATCATTGCCTAATGCCACTCAGTATGAATTCTGTACATGTATTAAATGTCAAATGCAGTAAACGCTGAAAAGAAAAAAAAGAAGTCAATTGTCTGCCAAACAAACTGTAATGCATTTCAATTGTAGGTTTGGAGGACAGAGCAAGAACTCATTTAATGTATACCTTTTGCACACTAGTTTGTACACTGAAGCTGTTATATGTGCATATGTTAGTAGCATTTCACATTAACATGGAGTTGCTCCAGTGTGATCCTCAAAGATTCGATTTGTTGTTATATCCCCATCTGCAAAATTCTCCTGTGGAAGAAATGTCCACGGTGGTTTCAGTAAGCTTTCCAGGTGCTTTGTTTTGTGTTACGGTGTTATGCTCTGCCGTTGAATCCATCTTAGCCACGACAGTGGGTGGTAATCAGACTACCCGGTTCAATCCCTCGCTTCTTGTAAGGTTGTGCCAAAGTGTCCTCGAGCAAGATTTGCTATCAGTGTGTGATCTGTTCTTGAGCACCTTAAGTGCTTGGTAAAGTAGAAAATCCATAACAACATTCCCGATGCACCAACACATTCTGCTCCTTTTGCAACAAGCTCCACAGCACTCACAGAGCCTTAAGGAAAAGCACCCACACTTGTTCCTTCCAGCTTCCATCAGAGGGGATTATTCAATACAGCTCCCGGCTGGCAACTGCCACCTTGTTTTATATACTAACACCTGTGTCATGCAGAGCAGATAATATTCACCAGACAATACCTCAGCTAGGTCTGGTTTGTTTTGTACTCACTGTCTGAGCTGACACTCATTTATTCTCTCCTCCTTTGTACTGCTACTGTAACAGTATTTATATATTTTTTTGAAGAAACAAATTGTTGGAGGAAAGAAAGGATACATAATATGCAAACTATGGTGTTTTGTTATACTGTCGGATGTGATTTCAACATGGGTATTCGTTGAAGAGCTGCAACAATTAATCGACAACTGAACAATTGTCAAATTAATCATAAATTATTTTGGATAATCAATTAATAATTTTAGGTGTGAGTGTGGGCGTGGATGGTTGTTCGTCTCTGTGTGCCCTGCGATTGGCTGGCAATCGATTCAGGGTGTCCCCCGCCTACTGCCCGAAGACAGCTGGGATAGGCTCCAGCACCCCCCGCGACCCTAGTGAGGATAAAGCAGTTCGGAGAATGAATGAATGAATACATGAATTATTTTAAGACCTTGCATATGACCAAATCCTCAGAATTTCAGCCTCTGAGCTGTAAATATTCTCACATTTTTGCAGGGCTTCATGAAAGGATTTATTATTTTTGTGTTGAATCAAAATCACTTGTCATTGTCCCACTCTCTAATTCCATTCATACTGTGAATTTTGTAAGCATTTGTGTGTGTCTTGCTCTTAGGTCTAAAACCTTTAAAAATGTGAAGTTGCATCTTGTTTCTGTCACAAACTAACAAAATTGTGATCGACTCAAATGGAAATAGACACAATTTGTTGAAGGCCACTGTTTCTTGCTTCAGTATGAACAGCAGTCGAGTCAGTCAGACTGTTCCTGTTCATTAGGCGAGTGGCTTAAGGCCAGAGCTAATAAGTGCCTCAACAGCCAGACAAGCCCACTGACAGCAAAACAAGGGAGTGCAGACATTCTTGACCTTTGCTTGTTATGCTGAGTTAGAGGCGGAATTGCACAGGAGTTAGAGAAAGACATCAACTTACAAAGACACCAAAACTTGGCAAAATATTATAATGAACATAACTGACAACTTTTAGCTCTTTTCCTTTCAAGAGATTGACTTCACGGCCTCGGACCATAAAACATGATCATAGGTGAAAGAATGTGCAAGGTGCAGCTCAAATGATTAGATTTTTACCCAGAATGCTCCAAAATCTGTGAAAAAAAAAACAGAGGTGGCGTGCTAGCGTCATGCATAGACAGGTGCAGGTGCAGAGGTGGTCCTCATAGAAGGTGCTTGGTTGACATAACATGTATCTAATTGGTGAACAGATATTCATTGATGTCCTTTGCTTTATCATTTGTGTACCATATTTTCTGCACTATTGGGTGCATCTTCAATGAATGGCCTGTTTTAAAACTGTTTTCATATATAGGGTGCACTGCATTATAAGGTGTATAGAATCGAAGCTACAATAATGGCTGAGGTTGCACTATGCATCCACTAGATGGTGCTATGCTAAAAGGAATACAATTCAGATTTCTATCTGTCTATCTATCTATCTATCTATCTATCTATCTATCTATCTATCTATCTATCTATCTATCTATTTATTGAGCCCTGGCAGCGGTTGCGCTATGCATCCACTGGATGGAGCGACGCTAAAGGAAATACAATACAGTACAATACAGCTTTATTTATATCGCCTTCACGATGCTGCAGCTGAAACAAAGTACTTTACAGAATGTTTTAATATACTACACCCAAGATATCAGAATGTTGATCCATATGGAGCTCCTTCAGGATATAGCATGAATCATGAAACGAAGTCCATAAAAATACAGGGTTTATTCATTGATAAGCCATGAGAACTGGTCACGACTATAAAGAGAATGTAACTGAGCACTCGGAGAAAACCCATGCAGGCACGGGGAGAACAAGCAAACTTCACGGGGAGAACCCTGCACCTCTCCACTGTGAGGCCAACGCCGTGCAGTCAACCACCGGGCCACCCGTGACTGATAGTGAGCTCTAAAATAAATAAATAAACAAACAATAAATAAAGGTTCATTTTCACTGAACCCTTAGCCCTTATTGTATCCAGATCACAGCATCTGACATGAATATGGAGACAAGACTTTTTTACCATATCGTTCAGATGTTTGCTGTTGGTTAGATCTGTCACTATTTTGTAATCTGTCTTTCATCTGAAGTTATCTGCAAGAGGCCTCAGCTCCCCGTGTAAGGATAAAAGTGCTTATAGAAATGGATAGATGGATCAACAACTACAATTTGGATAAAAACATGTCCCTCAACAATAGAGCTGTTTTTTTTCCCTGATGTCAAGGTCCATGACGAATTGGAGGCATTGTGCATGATCATTTACATACATAGGTGAAAAGAAAAAGATCTTCATAATAGATATAATATGGTGGCTCAACATAAAAAGAATTCCAAATTGAACCGACTCAATACAGAATTCTAAATCAATTAAATTACACAGCGTAGTTTAGTGTTTGTTTCATAAAGAAAATTGACAAACTCTTCCAACAAATAATCTGCACTATGCCAAATTAGAAGAAATAAATCATTTCCATGAAATGAGCCATTAAAATAATCGAAAAGTGCTTTTGCTGTGTCAAAGCTCTAATCAGTAAGCCATCACCTTTCTGAGTTTGCAGCAATTATTTTATCTAATTATGGCCTCACAGACCTAACCTTTAAAAAAATGTGCATCGTGAAACCAGACCAGTCGCCAAAGGCAGGCCACAGGGGGCCGTGCCCACCCACCAAGTTGCTTGTGTCCCCCACTTGAGGCTCGGGGAAAAAAAGCAGTATTTTGGAAAAAAAATATATTGCATTTTATCAATGTAGAAAAGGCGACAAAGCATGTTAACCTTTACTGAGGTTACTAATTTGAATACTTTTTACTTTTATATGAACGTCCGTGTGACTTAGACATGCACAAATTCACATGTGGCTCGAGGGGATGGAGTGTGCACAGTCGGAAGTCTGGGGCTGGCCTGGAAATCAAGTCTCATCTGTACCAGCGAGTGAGGGTATGTCCTTCGTTCGCTTGTTTGGTTTGTACCAAAAGCTTTTTTTTTTGGTGTTCGTATTCACACTATATTCTGTTAACACGTCTACGCGTGTAATGATCAGTGCTCCCATTGGACAGAAATGACGTTATGTTGCAGTCCACCACGTGAAACTAACTCAACATTTTTAGCGCATTAAGCAACATGGTAAATTGTAAGAGGTCCTTTCTGAAGCCAGACATGATTAATAAGCCGGGGTGCACATAAGCGGTGCACTGGTGTTTCTCAAAGAATCTGTACAAGTTGCAAGTTCCATGCATGAATACACCCAGGTAGCTGTTAATTGGGTAATCATATAATCATAATTGCGGCCCCTAAAATCCACTCATTGACGGCATACTTTTACAATCCAGTGATGTTGCTTAGAAACAGTTAGTCACATTGCATCCAATTACATATTGAACTGGTCGCCAGCTAATTACAGGGTACACACAGATGAATAACAACCATTCACACTGACAGTCACACCGATGGACAATTTAGAGCAGAGGTGTCAAACATACGGCCCGCGGGCCGGAACCGGCCCCCAAGGAGGTTCGATCCGGCCCGCGGGATAATTTAAATGTGGGGAAAAATGCGTTAAAGACACAGAATGAATATTTTAAATAAAATGCAATTCTGAATTATCCACTAAGGGGCACACTGTTTTGATCACAGTAGAAGACAACATTGTTTTGATCGGGGAGGAAAACAGCAGTCTCAGTCTGTCACCGAGATAGACCCAACGCAGCAAATGATATGAAAGCGCCAATCAATGCTTCTTGAGACCAAAACAAAGGAAAGAGATGAGATTTTGGTGATTCATAGCACAGTATGGTATCATGTTAATGGTTCGGCCCACTTGACATCTACCGAGTCCGTATGCGGCCCACAATGTGAAATGAGTTTGACACCCCTGATTTAGAGTGTCCAATCAACCGACCATGTGTGTTTTTGGAATTCATTTTATAAAATATTTACAATATTGGGCGGCCCGGTGATCCAGTGGTTAGCGTGTCGACATCACAGTGCAGAAGTACCGGGTTCAATTCCAGCTCCGGCCTCCCTGTGTGGAGTTTGCATGTTCTCCCCGGGCCTGTGTGGGTTTTCTCCAGGTACTCCAGTTTCCTC